AGAGTCCAGCCTCTCCGTGCAGCCCTCTACCAGCAGCCTGTACGGGGCTCTCCGGCTCTGCACACACAACCTTCCTATTGGATCCCATCCCGCAGCACGTCACAACGTTTCCGGCCTCATTTACTACTGCTCATGCGCAGTGCCGAGAGCGGCTATGAGTGGTACTATTATTTAATACCAAGTTTTGGTAATTTAACCTTTAAATTGCAGCTTAATGTTGCTGTGTCATTGTGATCTGTTCTAAATATGTGAATGGCTCTGAGTGCACACTGTAGTCTGACTGCAGCTCAAATAAAGCAGCTACAGTTTCACTGTGAGACATGCTTTTGGCTGTTTTTACCTTTCTTAGAAAAGCAAAGTCTGTGCTTTAATAGTATGAGGCTTTTGATAAAGCATCTTAAACAAATGTATCCATGCAAATAAGGTATTTCCAAAGAAGTTTAGGAGGAGAGATGGTATCGGTATCGGTATCTGCTGATAGTTGAAGTTTCGGTATCGGTATCGGAAATCAAAAAGAGGTATCAGTCCATCCCTAATAATTACATATTGAATATAGGAAATAATTTCTTATGCAGCAACCTGTTTCCAGTGAGAAGGAAGGGTATGTTTTTCTTTAATTATTACTTTTGACAACTGATTTGTAAGTAGCATTAAAGGTCCATTTTTACTATATCACTAGGACAACTATCATTTCATTTTTGATATATTCTCACCATGAGGCTCAGAAGGTGATTTTCAAATCCTGATGACATTTCTAGGGCTTTGAGTGTGAGATTTGTGTTAGAAACTTCCAAATTGTTGTGAAGAAGTTATGATGTAGGAAGGAAAGTGGGTTCAAATTAAAGATGCTACCTAGTTGTACTCCTGTGAGTCCCTCAACTACATCAAAATGTAATTACTGACGTAGCCCTCGGATCTTAAACAATGTTTAATGGTGAATAAAATTTATTTTTGCATGAAAAATCCCAGACATAGTAACTAGTGGCTCCAAAATAAAAGCAGTGGAGTAAAAAATGCATTATTTCCCACTGAAGCAGCACAGAAGAGTTCAAACTAACATATAATGATGATAAAGTACCTTAAAAAGTAAGTGTACTTATTAATACTCCATCTCTTGTATTTGCCTTCGACATTTTTCCACCACAAGTAAGAAAACGGAGCTAACAAAGAGAGCATCCCGTTGTGTTTTCCCCAACAACCAAACATGATGAGGGCCCTGCAATGCAGCCACCAGCTTAATCCTGCAGATTTTCTGTCTACGCCATCTGTCAGATCAGACCCAGACTCACCAAGCAGGGTGCCAAAACTCCTGGTCCAAGCTACTGCAACACATTCACAATGGAGCAGCAGCCCTCCACTGCTCTGCATTCACACACTCCTAACCTCGTAGCATTCCTTTCTGCTTTCCCCGTGAGATACTGCTGGAATGAGATTCATCTCTCATTTTAAAAAAAAAAAGGCTTCAACCTGGACTCCTCCTTTATCCACATACATCTTAGAGCAGATACAACACAAGCAAGGATGATGCTACGTTCATGTCACACGAGTAGAAAACAGCTCAACTGGACAGATTGTTTTTTATTGATCATAAATATGACGGTAAACCATTCAGTAAACATGACATGTCTCAGTAAGACGGTCTGTATGTGGTTACTGGCTTGGAAGACAAGCCTTGGTCCTTTCATATACAACAGTATGTCATCTTCTGGTTAAAAGAGCTGAATGTTTCAGGTTTACATGTAGTAAAACAGGCTCAGCACCAACATTCAGAAAACTGCTGCTGAAGCAAAAACCCATTTCTCTAAATGAACTCCGGTTGCGACGGCATCTGGTCCTCTCGCTTTCGTTACGTCTCTCAGAATTAGTTTTTGCTCCTGCTGCTCCCGTCGTCTCTCTGGTTTTATGTTTCTCATCACTGCGTCTGAGAGAGGAGCTGGTCTCGGCGCTCTGCACTGATGAAGAATCGTAGTTTCCTTGGCAACAGCCTTACCTCCACAGGCATGGCTTCGTACTCCTCGTTGTCGATGTTGTAGAAGCCGCCGGCCCCCTGCAGCACCAAGTTAAAAACACAAACACCGAGCTTTAGGAAGCAGACTGACTAATACTGACAGGAACAGGCTTGATTTGCTCTGATGTAACCGTGAATCAGATGAAATCATTTAAAGGAGTTCTGACCTCTGGCAGCTGCAGCTGGCAAGCACTGGCCTCCAGTTTGGTGGCGTTTTTAGTGAATATCGTCGAGTCTTCCTCTTTTTTATTTCTATAAAAAAAGAACATTTACATTCATTTACAGTCAGAAATGTAAAAAAATACACTTTCAAAGTATGCGTAAGGCCTCAGCGGTGCCGTCTGTGTGCAACAGACTAATAAAAAGGCTGCAACTGACCCAACAGTAATGAACTCGCCCACGGTGAAGTCGTTGGGCTCTGCGCAGATCACCAGGGAGTCGTTAAGGCGCTGCACAGTCCACAACATAAAAACAAACATCAGAGGGAGAAAACATGACGTGCCGTGACTTTATAAGAACAGTCAGGAGGTTTCACAGACAGGATGATGCTGAACTGACCCGCTCCACTGGGTTCTTGTTGTGTGTCTGGATAAAGAGCTCCAACGTTGACAGCTGCTGCTCCTCCCACTTCTCTGGCTCCGCCTCTTTTGGAGGCTCTGAGCAAACACACAATTAATAACAACACACATAATGCTGTGAAGCAAGTAACGAACAAATCACACACACTTACCTTCCACTGGCGGGTACCAGTAGTTCTTGAGTCTGCGGATGATGCGGTACATCAGGTTGGGCCTGGGGGGCTTCTGAGGGGGCAGGTCAGGGGGCCGGAGGCTGGGAGCCAAGTAGGACACCGAGACGTCTCGGACCAGGGGCCACTCCTGAGAGGGTGTAGTGCAAGATTACAATACAGTATCTGAAGAATAAAACTATTTTCCTAATTTAGTCTCCTAACTTCGCCTCTCTTTACCTCCATGTTTTGGAATGAAGTAATCAAGACATGATCGAGGTGTACCGTTTAGGAGTTACAGGGTTTTTAATTGTAGTCTGTCCATTTTTACAGGCTCAAAAGTAACTGGACACTAACTGATTAGCATTTTCATGGGCAGTTGAGCCTGTTTCCTTGTTATTTCATTAAAACCTGAGGAGATCTGGGTCTGAAGTCGATTCATTGGTGTTTATTGATGACGTGACTGCTGACAGAAGAAGCGGGATGAATTCTGAAAGCTAAACTTTTTGCTCTCAGGATGGGATTCACAGCGACCCAAAGCATCGTATGACAGCAACCCAAGAGTTTTTTATTAAGGCGAAGACACAGAATGTTCTTAAATGGCCCAGGCAGCACCCTGACCTCAACCAAGCTGCTTTTCACTTACTGAGGACAAAACTGACAGCAGAAAAACCCACGAGCGAGCAACAACCGAGGCCTGAGAGAGGAGCTAAATGGAGGAAACTAAGCAGCTGTGATGTCAGCAGGTTCCAGACTTCAGGCAGTTATCGACTCCACAAGACTTCAATTAAAATATTAAAAATAATCCTCGTGTTTTTACTTATCTGAGTCAGACCGATTATTCTAGACCCTGTGAAATAAAAATGGTTGTAATTCTGAAACTGTTAATACATTTTTTAAACCCCTTGAGGTAAAGCGGTGCCTCTAGACTTGACTTTATGAAGCCATGGAGGTGATAAACACAAGCAAAATTATTTCATTGTCAGATTGAGGATCTGACTCAGCAGCGACAGAGTCATAGCGGTCACGGGTGACAGGAAACGGGGAGATAACATGGTGTAAACCACTGTATGTAATAAACTGAAACTGTTCTGGTGAGATAATGTTGTGTTTTACTGAAGCTGCTGATGACCTGAACTTTTAATGTGCCTCATATTACACCAACATATTTACTGTGTTATCTAGAAACTGACAGCACGGTTCTGTCAGAGCTGAAAACGTCCAGAACTCTATAGTAGTTAAAGATGCTAGGATCCTTCTTTCAAACTGATTTTCACCTTACAAAGTCATAACTTCAGACTTAAGAGAAAGATGTCAGTAGCTGTAACAGTGGCAGCACCAGACAGCTCAGTGTGTTCTCTCAGGCATGCTTAGGTCGGAAAAACAGCCTCACCCTTAATGTGCTGAACCAATGCGCCGCATTCGTCTTTAATGGTCCGAGGTACCAATATCTGTGGGGAAATATCACGGTTAATTATTCATATACGCAGGGAATAATGTAGTCGCCAAGGTTACAGCCCGACTAATCTTACTTGCTGATTGTTGCAGCCACGTCTCTGAAGGCGCCCCAACGCAGCCCCATCAGAGCGAACACCGGCTGCTCCTTCTCTCCCTGCAAACACAAACACACGCTTCAGATTCAAACTACAGAGCATTACGTCTAACTATCTGTATTCACGACTGACTTTCAGGCAAACAGAAGCAGCTCCTCACTTTGATTTGCAGCACATCCAGAGGCACGGTTTCTCCTTTCAGAATAGACAGTGTTGCTGCTGTGATGTCCCTGGAACACGAAGCAGATGGAAAAAACAACTTGTTGTGGAAATTAGAAAGTCTACACTGTACGTTTAATAAGCACGTCCTGTGCAGTTTATCGTGGGATAGTAGGACGATAAAATCTGGATGGTTACGTGTTACTTACTTGACCTTGTTGTCGCTGCAGAGATGGAGACTCGGGCTTAAAGAATTGTGAGAGCCGAGTGGAATGAATCCAATCGGTGTGCTGCTGAAGGTGTCCTGTGGTCAGAAAACATCCGTCAGAATCGCTACGACGATGGCATTTCATTCATCTACAAAGCAGATTTTATCGTCTTGGAAAACACACTCGTTAAAACTGAGATCGGGAAACAAGCTTTTAAATATGATGCACCCAAGTATTAGAACAAAACTCAGAACCTGTTGAGATCAGATAGTTTGATCCCATGCGACAGGGTTAAGGAGCAGGATGAGTGGTTTCTTTCATTTTAACTTGTCCACTTCGTCTAACTTCTGATTGTTTATTCTGTGTGTGAGAGTGTGTGTCTGTGTAAATATATATTCTTTGTATTTTATTCTGTATTTTAATAATAGCTGAAAATGTGTTCTTTGCTTATTGTCATGCTAACAGGGCGCCCATGAAAAAGCGAGCATCTACTCACCTGATCTGGCCGTCGTAGTAAACCTGTGACGACTTCCTGCAGCGTGCCGTCCCCTCCAGCCACGATCAGCATGTCTGTTTGCTCCATGAGTTCGATGAGTTTTTTCGCCTGGCCTTCATAATCCGTCTGTATGTACAGACACAAAGTTATGCACGGCAGCTCCTTGCTTAATGACCGATATATTTAAAGGTAAAATACTAACTAGTACCTTGACTATTGTTATCTCCACACCAGCCAGGTGTAAAATAGGAGCAGCGTTCTTTTCAAACAGGGTGTTGGCTTTCCTGCAGAGAATTGAAATGAAATGTTGGAAATATTCTGAGAAAAAAAAATGGTGTCTGAGGTCCAGACATGATCGTCAGTGCAAGATTCTGAGACTCGTGAGTTCTTCTCACCCGCTGCAAGCTGCTGGGTTCAAGATCACGGTTGCTTTCCTCAGCCGCTCCTGTGGCGCTATCTGTTGACGCCCATATTCCTAACAGAGATGATGATGATTAGGAGCACAGTCGATGAAAGAAAACTTACAGTTAAGCTCAAAATTATTCATGCTATATTTTGATTTATGGTCAAATTTATTTCATCAGTGGGTTTTCTTCTGACTGGAAATGACATGAACAAGTCACAACAGACAGGAAGACATTGTGTTAGAGCGCTTCTGATGATTTTTTAAACTATTTCTATGTCTTCTTTTTACATTTCAGCTAAGCGTATTCTGTCCAAAATCATTATTATTTTGAAATTGTCCCAATTTTTTGAGAAAATTCAAGCATCTATTCCATTTCCATTGGCTCTGGTCATTTTTACCATGTTCTAGAGCATGTTAATACACCGTAAACTGAGAAAAGCTGACGTTGTAGTTCTCTAGTCAGTTACTGGTTATGGCTTAGACCAAAGAACTTTGTGAGCTTGCTACTAGTGTGGATCATGAAGACAGGGCTGTGTCGTGTGGCTGATGATAAAACTATATCCAAGTGTTGTCAAGTGTTAGTGGCAGCAGCACAATCCATAATCCAAAAGTACAAACAGTTCCACACTGTGAAAAATCTCAAAGAACACAGGAGGAAGCCAAAAGGGACCCCAGTGCTGTCAACAACGGTGGCTTGAGAGGCCAAAGACTCCAAAGATCCCCACCAAGGAGAATCAAAGCTGTTCTGGTACCAAGCAGACACTCGAGCAGACACTGCACAAGGCTGGTCCTCATAAGGAGGAGCTCATTGCAATTACATGCGCAAAGCAGAAAGCTGCTGGTCATCAGCTCTGTCGTCACTAATGGAGTTGTTTGCACAGGAGGACGTGGCTTTCATTTGGCAAAAGAAAGGAGACGCATTCAACCCCAAGAACACCACCCCGTAATCAAACATGGTGGTGGGAATGCAGTGCTTTGGGGTGTTTTTTTAGCCAGATGGAGCAGCAAACGTGCCAAAGCAAACAGCATCGCGAGAAAAGAGGACGACATTAAGATTCTGGAGGGAAACAACAGGCAGAAAAACTCGGTGTTGGGCAGCATCGGACCGTCCAACAAGACGATGATCTGAAGCATACAGCTAAGGTGGTCAATAAATGGACAAGAGAAAACTAAAACCATCAGTTTGGAGCACATCCAGCCACAGTCCAGACCTGAACTCCACTGAGAATCTGAGCTGAAGACCAATGTGATAATAAAGAAGCCTCCCAACCTCAAAGACCTGGACATCGTCACAGAGGAGGAGCGGTCCAACATCCCAGTGGAGAGATGCAGGGAGCTTGTCTGCAGTTATAGTTACTATTTGAGCGGCTCAAATTAGGGCTTTGCTATTGATTACTGACAAGGGGGGTATGAATGACTTTGGACATGTCATGTTTTATTAAAATATAAAAAGATGTAACATAGACATATTTAAAAAAAAATAGCTAACACTATCTCCAACCATTATCCTCACTTGTTTATGTCATTTTCATTCAGAAGACAGGTATTAGCCAGATTAAAAATTCCTGTAAATTAAAATTTGGCAAGAATAACTTTGGGATTACCTACATTGGTTAGTAATCTATGAGGAAAAGTCAGTGAAGCCTTACCCTGGCCAGCAGACAGGCCTCTCTCCTCAGAACACTGTCACTAATGAGACACAAAACACACAATTTAAGACAATTAAACAGGTTTACACTCAATCTAATCTGTGGTACATCCAGACACTGAGACACCCACCAGCGTTTCCCATACAGCCAGTATCCTCCGTAAGACAGGACGCACACAGCAAACGTGGACTTCTTCCAATGATTCCGCAGCGTCCGGAACACTTTCACGACCCGAGCCATGGTTCTGGTTCAGGATCAGATATCGCCCAAACCCTCCACTTTAATGCTGAGCTACATCTACAGCGACACACACGATTTAAAGCGTTGAATGACAAATTTGCAGCGCAGCGGTCACAGATTCCCAACTAGCATGGATATGTTGGTGTAACGTCTAAAGGGTTCGGAAGGAAACGGGGCTGAACCGATGTTGGTGCCGTATGAAGTAATTCACCCTGTTTAAACGAAGCGAGAGTATTGATTTATATAAATGTTGTAAGAAATAATATTTTAAAAATAACCAAATTTACAAAATGTCAACCAAAAATCAAATCCACGTACTGCCCATTTAGATGATCTCTAGAGCTAAACTACAATTCCCACCCGGACTATCTTCTCCGGGCTTTGACAGCTACAAGGCTCCGAGGACCCCGCCTGAAAATATTGTAGTTTTTGAGTTATGGCGATGTTTAACATATAGAAGTGCCTTAATCACCTACTTTACGATTTAACCCAGGACTGGTGATTTTTGTGTTCAACAAACGTGACCAAAGCGTTACAGAATTAATAACTTTAAATTTCACTCAGGCACAAATCCGGAGGCTTCTGTCCAATTTTCCGAGTATATCATGGCGGCACAGATGGCGGTAAATTCAGGTAATATTACTAAATTCGTTAAGTTTCTGCATTGCAGTTCATTTGCAGCAGTATATATTAAATGTTGATAGACAGAGAAGCACGAATATGTCTGATTTTTAGCTTCAGTTTCATCGAGTATCATTTGTTTTGACCACATGGGTTTGGATCAGTCAAGTTGTGGCTCCGGCTGTGGGGCTAACTTAGCCTAGCCTTGCCCATAGCAAGTGAACGTTTGGTTAGCTCACGCTGATAAATGAATTAGTTAGCGGGCAAACACGTTTATGTTTAAAACGTTTTCACATCAAAAGTTAAGCAGTGGAGCAATATGATTTCTTTGAAGCAACACCTGCCAGGCGGGTTTGCTGCTGAGTTTACGTGTTTGGAATTAAAACTGAAACTAACCTACTTACAGCAAGAAGATACGTGTTTGGCATCGGTGCCAGTCTTAGCTTTCTGTCCGCCTGGATTTATGTCTGTGGTACTGAGAAGTTTGTGCAACAGTTAAGGTCCAGGTTTGAGCTGGTTTCTGGCTTGTTGTACTCTTGTCAGTGAGCAATAAGTCACTGCTAACGGTTCAGTACCTCCTGAGAGCTCTGAAGATGGTACTTCAGTAACCAGTAAATATAGAATTGAATCTGAAGACAGTAAAGGCTGTGGATAATGGTTAAGTTAATTAATGGTAATGTTAAGTACATTGATGTGTCAGTGATGTGGCCAGATGTCACCAGTCTTTCTAAGACTGTGTTTTTACTGCACAACCACACCTGTTAGTAGCGACTGATGGAAGCTGTTCCCTCAAGCAAGGTCACAGCATCACACCTGTCAGAGACGGACAGGTCACATTATAAAGGATTACTGATTTTGCCAGAAGTAATTCAAACTTACTTTAATTTAATTTTAATTCTAAAAAAAACAAGGGTTTACAAAGTGTTTTGATGGACAACGCAAAAGCATAATACCCAGAAGATAGCACAACATTAAAGAGTAATAAGAAGACTATTGCACATTTTACACAACAGCCATTAAGCCGATGTTCAGTAGAGAAATAAGATCAGTGTTACAAAACTAAATAACAAGTTTAAACATTAAGCTGAAGACCTTGCAATATTATTCATTATGCAGATTTACCTGAATAATGTAAATGGTAATGCTAAAAATCTGCAGTATTTTGGAAAAAAGCTATAATAAATCAAATATTAAGGTTATAGGTATTAACCATACAATCTTTCTAAAATACAATTATGAAAATGTGCTTTACTAATTAAAATATTAGGGTTAGGACCCTGCAGTATTATATACAAATTACCTGTCTGACCTACAAAACTATACATGGAAAATCCAGTATATCCAAAGAGTCCCTTTAAGCAAACAAACTGGCAACAGCGGAGAGAACCAGTTTCTTTTTAACAGGAAGAGTCGGGCTCAGGGAGGGCAGCCCTGTGGTTGGGATGAGGGTAAAGAGATTCAAAGTTAAAGTCTGAATCAAATGGCAATAGAAATTTAGTCCAGGCATATGTGCAGGATTCACCAAAGAAGAGCATCTAACAGTCATGGATGTGTCGTAGATGGGATACACAAAAAGTGTTACCCCTGCCAACAAGTATGGTTATAAGAAACTAGAACAGAAGGAGTGTTAGAAGTGACTTGTGTGCATGCCTGTGTGATGAGCCAAGATCTTTGAAAGCCTTTTTATTTACCCAGGAGCCAGTCTGTGGGGGCCACTGAAAGAGCTATGGGAGACGGTGGACGGAGCTGTGTTGAGGAGACAGCCGGAGAGCGTCCACCTCCTGGACCTGCAACTGAAGAAACACAAACCGCACTTCCTGTCGCTCTTTAAGAACCCGGTGAGTTAAAAACAACTCAGCTTTTGTGAACATTTTTCCGTGTGAATGTTCAGAAGTTTTCTGCTTGTGTAGCCTGCCCTACTTTGTGCAGACAGACTAATGACATACGTCCTCTGGACCATAATGTTAATAATATCTAGTCTTTTTTTTTGTTTTTAGCCAAAGAGTGCCGAGCAGAGAGAGAAAGTGCGCAAAGCCAGCACAGAAGGCATCGCCATCCAAGGTCAACAGGGGGCAAGGCTCCTTCCAGAACAGCTTCTGACGGAGGCCTTCATCCTCAGTGATCTGTTTGATATCGGAGAGTTGGCAGCTTTGGAGCTTCTGCTGGCAGGTAAAGTGAACACGAGAAAAAGACATGACTTCTAAGCAAATTTATAAGGAAAGTTATGCAGCGAGTTAGGCGATTGTGCATTTTGCTCTATTTTTGGGAAAGACACAGACAGATGGATCAGATTTACCATTTAGAGACAAAGTCTGGCGGGACAGAAGTACAGACATTGACATTTAACACAACCGATTCTCTGATTGTACTTGTCTTTCTCCAGGTGAACAACAGCAGCCCCATTTTCCAGGTCTGACACGAGGTCTGGTGGCCGTGTTACTCTACTGGGATGGAAAACTTTGTATGGCCAACTCTCTGCGCACACTCATCCAGTCACGACATGGCAAGACCTTCACCCTGGATCTAAGGTAATAATATTATCTATTAGGAGTACACTCGGATAATGACTGGTGCTTTAAAAAGCCCACGTGATGGAGAAGATATTGTCCTGTTAGCGATTTAGTTTTTGCTTTGGCTCATCTTTTGTTGACATGTGCTCTGATTTGGTTTCTCATCCAGTGGGGAGCTGGTGGCTTTGACAACACGATTTACAGACGAGCTGATGAGCCAGGGTCTGACCAAACGCATCCTGATCTTGGTGTCGGAGATAAACGTGACGCGCGAGTTTGAGCGGCTGCAGAAGGAGCGTGGCCTGGGAAATGAAAAGCACAGGAAGGAGGTGGGAGCAAATCTTTAGCATCAATTTAAAACAAAAATTTACAATTTAAAACAATTTTTAAAAAAATCATCCAAATCCATTCATTCATACAGAAACAGACTTTCTGGTTGTACCTGGAGTAGAAACATGAAGTTGAAGAACAGAGAGAGGAATGTGGACAATGTTTAATTCCCACTTCTGCCACCAGGTTTCAGACCTCATCAGAGAATGCCGACAAGCACTCGCCGACAGCCTGTTTTCATGGACCTGCCAGTCACCCATGACTAAAGAGGACACCTTGGCTCTCATTGGCCACCTGGAGACAGTGACAGCTCAAGCTGATGGCTCACTGGACAGTGTGAACCTGGCCCTTGTTATGGCGTTGCTTTACTGCTTGGATGTCAGTTTCATAGAGCAGGGGACTGAAGATAGAGAAGGTGAGTGAAGTAGTTTAACTTTTGTTGAAGCCACTAATTAGATCCAATAAAAACTAGCTGCTTGTAGCTCTGAGTCTGCTTGTGTCAGTGTTGTGCTTTTACAGGTATTGAAGGGGTGTCTGTGTGTCGTTTCCCTGCAGACCTGCTCCAGGCGCTACCTCTGCTTACAGAGAGGCAGTACGTGTCCGCAGTGCACAGTCGTCTGATGGACGGACAACCGTGGAAGCTTCCAGGCCTGCAGGCTGTGTGTCGGCTGGCTTGGGCTCTGTCTCTGAGAGTCCTTTCCCAGCTTCCACAGGGTTCTGGTAAGGCCTGTCATTCATGAACTTCCATTAAATATCTAGCTGTGTGAAGGGATATCAGTTCTCTAAGTTAGTAAGAATTTACATCATGTCTGTGTTGTGCAGCTCTCGTCGAGTTCACCGAGGCAGATGAGGCTCTGGCTGACCAGGCTCTGCTGGGAGATGTCTTCCTGTTTATGAAGGAGGGCATGCTGGGATGTGAGAGTTTTGCCCAGGAAGAGTTTTTTATTCGTCGCCTCCATTCGCTCATTACTGACTTTCTGGCGCTCATGCCAATGAAGGTGAGAGATGCTACTTCCACTGAAGTACGGATTTGTTGTGGTGTCAGAATTAGGTGTTGTCTAATAAGTTATTTCATTGCACTTGTTTCTGTTTTGCTTATTGTTTGAAATATTGCCACGTGTTTGCTTTCTACAGGTGAAACAGCTTCGTAACCGTGCCGACGAGGATGCCCGTCTGGTGCACATGTCTCTACAGATGGACAGTGAGCTTCCGTCATCATTGCGTAAAGATTTAGACCATCTCATGACTCTGGTCAGTCTTTTTTATTTGTTTTTTAAACATATGCTTACACATGTCAGCAAACATCACCTTTTACATTTCAAGAGTTTAACTGCTAATGTTATTTAGAGGCAGGTGCTAATAAGAGGAGGAAATAGTAGCAAAAATACAAAGTTAAAAGTCTGCTATGGTATGTCACAGTGCTGGTTTGTCTCTTCAGATTGGGGAATTTTACAGCAAAGACCCATTTGGGCTGGAGCTGGGTTTGGAGTTCTGGTGTCCCACAGAGTCTCTCCAACACACGTCCTTGCAGGGATCCTACCTGGGAATGGCCCTGCAAAGGCCTCCACATAAACAGGTCAGGGTTACATTTTATTGACATTATTTACATTAAAAAAGAATTAATATCTGATGTCAGCAGTTAAAGTAAAAGGTAGTTGCTGTGTTTGTAGTTTTGGTCCC